TCTCTTCTTATGTAGCGGGCAGGGCCGGGGCGCGTGTGACAGCCCCGGTGTCCCCTCATGGAGCGGGCAGGGCCGGGGCGCGTGTGACAGCCCCGGTGTCCCCGGCGGAGCGGGCAGGGCCGGGGTGTACGTGACAGCCCCGGTGTCCCCTCACGGCCCAGGCTGTCTGAAGAGGTGCAGGCGCCCGGCCACACAGAACAGGATGGGTAATGAATGCTGTTGTTTTTGCAGTTTTATCAAAACTGAAATTAATCACGGATATCTGCTAGCGAGGAATTGCATGTGCCCCAAGTTTTTCGCTAGGCGATGGACCTTGCCATATAAAATAACTAAGGTTTAACAACTGCAAGATTAATTCGAGGTGAATTTCCAAACAGTACATTTTAAATAAAATTAAAAGCCCATTTTTTTAACACATCAAATTACAGGAATCACAGAAAAATAGTTGAAAGGCACATGCTGTTACAAGCTGTTTATTATCCTGGAGCAAGAAGCTGCTTTCCTTTTGCAATCCCCCTTGATTCACCTCCTTTGTTAGCTCCAAACGCGGCGCTGTTGCAGCCCTAGTGATAATACCCACGCTGCCTTCTTCCTCAACTTAAAAAGATGTGCTTAGGGAACAGACTATGAAAAGATATAACTGAATTATTTATGTTAATGAGAAACTGCTTATTATCGTCACCCTGTCAGGAACTAATCATATTCATTAAAAAAAACGGTGTAGCAACAGTTATTTCCAGATCCTTGGCATATTTTCCATAAGTTAATAAAGAATCAGCTTAATAGGTAGGAAGATTTAGCCATTCAGGAGCATGACTTGAAATCACTATTTTATTTATTAATTATTGGTATTGTAGCAGCATCTGGAGGCCCCTTTTGAGGTGTTAAAGTTCAGATGCTTGACTCTGCAAAAAGCCAGTAGAAAACAAGCCCTGCCTAAGAGCTTGCAGTCTTAATAGACGCAACACTTTAAAGCAAGTGAGAGAAAGTAGTACAGTGCAGTAGTCCTCCTATTTGCAGATAGGACACTGTAAGAAGTGGTGGACTTGTACTTGGCAGCAATGAAAACAATACCCACATAATCCCATTATCTGATATATGACTGCAGAAACAGCCATCCACCAGTCCTCTTTGAATAATGAAGGTATTTGAATGACTGTGGTTACTATTTGGGGGAACAAAATGTATAGTTATTGAAGTTTGCTGAAATAGTAAAATAGTCACCAATAGACTGGTAGCATTAAAACTAAAAGCATAATGTTCAGCTCCTTTCCTTTAGGGCTGTACCATCTGCCTAACTGTTAGGAATTTAAAACCCCCAGCATTTTGTCAGGAATTTTAAAGTAGCTTTGCTAAACTCAGTTTTATAATCATCCTACCTGTATAGGCAGAATCCAACTGAAATAACCCCCGTAAGCATCTAGAAGTCCTTCTAGAAAGAAAGGACGTTTCTGACAGCTGCCTCTGTGAGACAGTGGGGAGGGAGAGCTTCGGCTTGAAACAAGCTTTGTCCTAAATGCCTCTCTGTCGTACTACTCTGTCTGTCAGAAAAAGTAGTATGTAGGAGTGCTGCTCTCACTTAGCTTAGCAGGGAGCTTAAATCATCATGCTGCTTCCTACTGCTGCTGTCTGTCTGTCAGGATTCCTCTGGTTAAGCTGAGATTTGCATTTGAGGCGTCAGAGAAAGTATCCATGGCTGGGGCTCCTACCCGTTTCAAGAGCAACTTTTATGCACATGCATTCAGAAAGTGTGTTCTAATTTTAGACACTATAAACAATTAAAAGTTGTGATTCCAAGGGGTTATTCCATGTTGTTAACTCTCACAGAACATTTCCTCATCCCACCCACCTAAAGATCACAGTCACGTTCACCCTGGTCATGGTAGTGATTCAGACTTCTAATCCAAGAATCAGGTTTCCTCGTAGCAATTTTGAGAAAGTGGCTGTTTTGTGCCCTGTGTCCTGTAGGTAATTAATTTAAAAGGATGTTTAATAGGAGAGATACATAGGTTAAGCTCTAACTGTCTCCTGTACAGCACAAACAACAGCTTGATAAAACTTGTAGCGTTTTACTACAAGTAAACAATCTATTTTTCTTACAGTTTCTTTACAAAATGTTCGCAATGTTCTTTAAGGACTTGAAAAGTAGGAAGCTGTGCTGTATTCCTTTGTTTTCTCTGCTAATATGTTTTTGCAGTTATGTTACAGCATGACAAACAAAGAAAATTAGCAGAAATCGATATATGGGCGAATATTTCTTAAATTGTTTTAAGAATTTAAGAATTGATAATTTGTTGGATAGCAGGTTGATTGCCTAAAAGTTTTTCCTTCTAAATGTACAATATATTTAGTAGCTCTGAGATAGAACGTGGTCATATCCTCAGCTGAGTAAACCAGGATAGATTGAAGTGACTTCAACAGATTTATGTAGACTTATCTACCTAAAGGCTTGATGCATAGTAACATTATGATACACAACAACTCAGGTCCAAAGCTCCATAGCACTAGTAAGAAACTCAGGCCATGCCCCAAGATTATGCTTTTAAAATTAAAACAATAATTACTTGCATCTTTCAGGAGCAGAATTATACTGAAGCAGGAAAGGCGAAAACAAAAGGTAAATAGGTCTAGCCATCTCAGATTTTATATTGTTGTGTAAATGCTTTAGTTGATTCACTGTGGAAAATATTTCAAAGCAGTTGGCGTGAGGTTCAAAAACTGTAGCATAAGGCTTGTAATGTGTTTGCCTGCCTGCAAACTTTTAGGACAGAAGTCTTTTTCTAGGTTTACCACACTGGAATTCCAACAAGAAGAGGAGGGAGTAGGAGAGGACATGAATGAATGTATGAATGTGGGCAGTTTAAGTTTTACTGAATTATTTTTTGTTACTATATTTTGCCAATATGTGCTGATACACAGAGGATAGCTTGAAGCATCACAGTGACAAATGTATGGTTGGCCAGCTTAATACATATATACAGCTCTTTTTCTGGGGCTGCATGAAGGAATGTTAGGTTCATTTGAGTACTTCATTTTGGCATTCAAAAAAGTAGACCGACTTGTTTGTATTAACTGGATCTGAAAGTGAGCTAATGAAATCAAATTTATCCCTGGCATAGCAGAAGACATTTCAGATAGCAGAGAGAGTAGTAAGAGAAGACAGTGATAACTATAGAAAGAAAAGTCCTTGGCAGCTGGGAAAAAAAGAGGACAATGTAAAGCCAGCCATTAAGGCTGCTACCACCCAGTGCCCAGAGTAGATGCACGGGCATATGCAGAAGGAAAAACAAGCTGATAGTACGGAGCCTGTCTCTGAAGTGAAAGCTACTTACCTAAGAGAACGAGGGAGCAACCAGCAGGTTGTTGTCCCCATCACTTTCCCAGTCCCTTGTAGGCCACGTGAGTTGTCAGAATACCTGTTTTCCCAGTGATTCACTGGTGTAAGCCACACTGTTTATGTTACGACTATGTAATTTGGTCCAGTGGGGGAGAGAAAACAGGAAGGGATCAAAGACAGGATTGTGTTTAGTAACTTAGAGGTGATGAGAAGAAAGTTATCTGAGACATTGAAAGAACACAGGTACCTTTGAAAGAACATTGAAAGACATTGAAAGAACACAGGTATAAAGGGTGTGGGCTCCAAAGAAATATGGATTTAGAAGTGTTAATTTGTACATAGGCTGAATTTAACTTACTGCAGATATTTTTCTTAACTGAAGAATGTGTATTTTCCTCAGATACTAATGTCCTAGAGTGCTACAGATTGTGATCTGACAGTTTATACGGGAAAATAGTTACCAAAAAACATGTTGGGTATGTCAGTTATACACAATGTGCAAGATTAATCCCTTGTCATGAGAGGAATTAAATTTCACAGAAAAGCTTGTATTATTTTTTGTTTTGGCATAGCCTTCAGTTTTCCACGCCCTTCTGTGGTTAAAATGAAGAAGCCTCATTGCTTTGATTTTTCCATCTGCTAGCTGCCTGTAAAATGAAAATTTTGCTCCCTGCATGGCTACTAGTGGTATTTTAGGGTTATACAGAATTATTTGCCTGATATATTCAAAGTGTCTGTCATATTTGTTTTTGTTCATTGCAACATAAGGCCTTTCCAAAGTCCCAGTAATAGAGAATTTTCTTCTTTACTTTTTTTTTCTGTCACAAGACTCTGTTTTCTCCACCAAAGAAGACAAGTTTAGAGAACAATAAACTCTTTGTTTGATTATAGATGGCCATGTGTATGCAATTTTGCTGATTTGCTTACTAGCTCAAAGCTGCCTCAAAAGCTCAAGTTTAAATTTTTAAGACTTTTTCCTTGAAAGATTTTGGTTTATCTTTTATTTTAAATAAACATTTTAAACCAGCTTATGCAAAGGTTGAGGCATGAGAGCTTACAGACTAAATTTTTGGCAGCAAGAGAACAGTGATTTATTTTGAACATGAACAAATAATATTCATGCTATCTTTTTCAAGGTAACCAAAATAAACAAAATAATAGTAGGGTTTGTGAATTTGGAGAGATTATGTGAGATTATGAGATTATGTGCTTTCATTGTTAGGAATTGTTTGCTAATTCTTGCATGCTCATTGTAAAAGTATCACATATTCTGCTCAAGGGCTGCGCAGCTTCTATCAAAAAGTTTACTCTTTCTTTTAAAAATGATAGGAATTCTTTGAAAAGAAGAAACTTAAATCAAAGATGAAGCTTCTGGGAGTATCATCATCTCCTAAAAGTTCAGCAGTCAGTCTAGATCTCCTCAATCTATATGTTGTTAACCAGATATCAACCAAAAAGGACAACGCTGGTGAGTTTAGTGTACCAACGGTCTGACTTGTCAATCGACAGAATCAGTTATTCTTAACTATTACAACTGTCATTTCAGTTCTTTGTACTCTTCCCTTGCATTCTAACTTACTGCTCAAATAATCTTACTTACTTTTATTTAAAAATAGTAGGTAAAAGTGTAAATAAAAAGCTAGAACATAAGAGGAACAAAATAACATTGACTACTGCCTGCTTCACCTTTAAAGCCTTGCACACTTACACACATTCCTCATTTCATTCATTAATTTTACCCTGTATCCATTTCTTTTTCCCTTTACCTTTACACGTTCCATTCTGCTTCCTGTCCCATATTGTTTTTGGCGTTTGGAGTTATCTATCAGTTCTCATACCCAGAGAATCTTTCTTAAAATCCTTAATTATGCCCTAAAAAAAACTCTAGGCACCCTGAGTCCTAACTCTTATCCTTTTTGGCATATTTGTAAGCCAGATTGTGGCAAACTTGCTGTCTTATGCTCAGAAAGAACAGAAGGTGAATGAGCGGGGCGACAGACCCTTGTCTATGCGCAGTAGTTGATAGTGAATGATGTTATCCTATAATGCCACTTAAAATAGGACTCCTAGGTCACTAGTAACAAAAAAAGCAGAAAATATGGCTTTAAATTGATTAAGAAACCTAAAACAATAATGAAAATTCAGGAAGCTCAAAAACTTTCTCCAAATCCAGTGCTGACATTCCAAATGCTTTCATTACAGAGAGCGTGAAGAAACCAGTCCACATTGATATGACTGGAGGCATAAAAATACCTCTTAGAAGACACAACATAGAACTTCCTATGTCACCGCCACGCACACAATATCATCCATCAAACTTAGATGACATACAGAACAGGTACTTGTATAAAATAGGCAGTATATAGAGAGATACAATGAAGTTCTGAAAAGTAAGTGTTGCATAATGTTCTTTCATTTGATTTATAAAAAGTTAGAAGGAGTTACTACTGAAGTACTGTGGCAAATAAGACCAATAAGGACTTCATTCACATGTGATGATTAACTCTGGAGACAGCTGAATAACTGGGAAAAGGGGTCTGGAGCAACACTGTAGCAGAGGAGTACGGAGAGAAAGGCTGAGCTGATTATGTACCTTGGGGAGTAAGCAGGATGAAATACGTATTCAAACTCTACTTGCCTGTGGTCATGTGTGTCTTGCCTTGAAAGGACTGAGAAACATATATTTTGTGTAGTAAATAAACATAAATATACTACTGTAAGATAAAGAAGCTTCACAACCATTCCTGACGTTCCAGTGATACTCCTACTAAAGAGAGTAAATAAACCGTAAATTAAGCTCAGAGACTTTAAAAAATTCTATTTCTTGAGTCGTGTCAGATCCTGCATGTGCTAAGTTACTCTCACAAAGTAGGTTATTCAAACAATATTTTCCACTTTCACCGTTTTCCCACCCAAATTTAGACTCCCTTAGGTGACTGATTCACAATCTGACTGCTCAGAACCTCTTAAGAACAAGGTCTTTTTTAAAATGCCTGAAAAAAATTGCTAAACCATTCTGAAATTAATATTCTACCAAGTTTTTTTTTATTTTATAAATCTGATATCTTAAATTCCATAGATTTTTTAAATTCATTTTACAAGGTTACAAAAACGAGTATTGGACAGCAGAAGGCAGCATCTTTCAGAGAAAGTAAAATACCAGCATAATGTAAGTTTATTGTTCTCATTGATTTCAGGCTAAAAATATACAGGAATGTCTGTATTCTTAAGTGTTTTTTCAAAGAATGATTATATCTCAAGTGCATTGAAATATGTGAAGGCTTCCTATTTAAGGCTATATTAAAATGCTATTTGCCAGTCGTGTTTTGCACTTGTTACTGTTATTTCTTACTTATTTCTTTAAAGGCTCGCTTTGTTTTTGGCATTTTCCAAAATATGTAAGAATATCTATGCTCTAAACTGGTCATAGTGGGCAGAGATTATGGGAAAGAGACTGAGGCCAAGGGTAGGCAAATTAATATGCATAACAGTTTGATGAAATGTGAGCAGCATAGACAGAAATGAGTCTCTGAGAAGGACTTAATATGTACCTTATGTGTCTTAATGGATACCATTGGGAAGTTCAAACATGAACTGAGGTTACAGCGAAAAGCATTCTGCAGGTGGAATTTAGGCTTTCTTTATGACACATTTCAGTATTGTGTAAAAAAAAAAAAAACCCAGGTTAGTAAATCTGTTAGAAAGGTATTCAGTTTAGATTATTCAGAGTTGCTTATAGTGCTATCGCTTCTGCTACCCGTATCAGAGAGGACCCTCAGGAGAGGAGGCTTGCAAAAGAAATTAAATCAGCATGATTCTATATGTTCCTGACCCAATCATATTGTCAAGCTATGTTTTGCTAGAGTAAGAGAGATAGATGTGTTTCTAGTATTAGAAGATCCTTTTGTTTCAGTGAGGAAAAATTACTTTGTACAGAGAAGTCTGGCTGTCTAATGTATTTTAGCCAAGATCACCATGAGCTGCCAATACTTTCTTTGGATATCACAGTCAGTCAGTTTTCCTGTATTACTCTTTTCCCCCATTGGTTGAAGCTATAGAGACAATATTTCAGATTTAGCAAGGCCAAAAGTACTGGATCGAAATGGCAGCTAAGTTTGTCCCCAACTTCCACTTGCATGAACAGATTTAAATGATACCGCAGTGCACACACGGAAAGCTATTTTAATGTGTGGATCAAAAGATAAAGTCTAAGGCCTGTATATTGCAAAGAACTATTTTTAAAAGTTTCATGGGGTAACTTCAAATAATTATATCTACTTTATTAAGCAGAAATATGTGACTGGAAATTTCAAAATCTTCAGCTTTCTGGAAACTTGTAGTTCTGTAGTACAAAGATTTTGTGCAATTTATGTGCAAGGCACTGCAGCTGTAGCTTGTGCTCCTTTGACTAGATTTGCTGGATTACAGGCACTGCCTCTGGGTAGCTGTGGATGGAATGATTTTTCATCTGTTTTGCCTCCATATTTCTCCTGTGTTCTGACCTGCTTGAGCCAGCATTGCTGGCCTCAAAACATGCCAGAGTTTTCTCCATACCATAGTAAAATATTTTTCATTTTTCTACTTAAGAACCAGTTCAGCAAGTCATTTACTACACACCTAAAGCTAAAAATATTTTTATACCCATCTCTACTCAGGGTAGCATTTGTATTCATGCTTAGACTTAAGTAGTTAGTTAAGTGTTTCCCTGAAATGGGCCATTACTACCACACATTTTTGGTGAAAAAAATCATATCAGAATACATGAAAAATTTCTCTGGCACCTGGTATATGTGCAAACAGATCTAAAAAATATAGAAAAGTCTGATTACTTTGAACTTCATACTTGCATCAGAACAGTTTTAGATAAATGAAATGTCTCTTCTCTATATTGTATTTAGTTATCACAAGTTGCAGAATTAACTCATGTTGACTCTAGTATGGAACATGAAGATGACACAGCAAGAGCCTTTAGTGCCTGTCCATTGTCTTCTACAGTTTTTTGGTCTTCTAACTGTACACAATCTTCAAAAGAAAATTTCAACACAAACTTAATGTGGAACCCTTGGGAACAGACCTATGAAGAAAAGCAGGAAAAACAGGTTTGATAAATATTTTTTCCTTTCAGTAGAATCAGCTTACACTAACTTTTATTTATTTGGATTGTTAGAATTAACGTAATGATGAAGATAATTATAAATAGTCAACATTTCTTGTAGGCCGGTGGTAATGAATAGTCAGTGTATACAGCTATTTTTCATCCTATTGGCATCAAATAGGCTTACCTCGAGCCTTTGTTCACAAGCTCTCAGTGCTGTTAGTTATCTGAGGAAAGAGAGTTAGTCATATATTGCTGGCTTTCTTCTTTTTCTTGTAAATTCAGGTAAAGAGAGCTGAAATATGTTGCAGTGCTAAATAGAGTTTTTCTTGTATATATGATTAGTTGGGTGTTGTATGATTCCAGGTGGTCACTGTGACCTAATTTGTAATCAGGCAGTGTCTCAATGAGTAACTTAGTTCCTACAGCATTATCAATGCTTCTAAAAAGGCTGAGAATGCCTGCTGTTTAACTCAAGTTAATTTAAGAAATTAATGAAAATTATTTGTTCTAAAGCATATTTTCTTTCTTTTTTCTTTTTCTTAATTTCAAGGTTCTTAAAAGAATCAGCATTAGAAAAGTATAGTAAATATAAGGGGATTCTCCTGATAGACTTTTTAAATAAAATATATTATTTGTAAGGAAATAATGAAAAAAAATCTGTGTATATCATCAGTGGTATTTCAGGATCTTAAAGGAAGTGAGGAAGGGGTATTTCAGGGCTTCAGGAGAGCAGATGTTGGCCTATTCGGGAAACTTGCAGGCAGCAATGCACAGGAAGCTGACCTGAAGGACAAAGGAGCCCAAGAAAGATGGTTGTCCTTCAAGGACTACCTTTTCAGAACACAAGAACAATCCCCCTCAACAGACAACAAAATCAGTGGGCACAGCAGGCCAGTCTGGCTGCATGGGGAACTCCTCACTGAGCTCTAATGCAAGAAGGACACGTGGAGGCAGGGATGGGTCGCCCAGAAGGAGCGGAGAAGCGTCATCAGGGCTTGCAGGGGTGGCATTAGGATGGCCAGAGCTGGAACTGGCAAGGGGTGGGAAGGACAACTAGAAGGACTCCTGTAGCACGTCATCAGCAAACGGAAAATCCTGGTCCGCTGCTGAATCAGGTGGGTGACCTAGTGACAAAGGACACGGAAAAATCTGAGGGACTCAAGGCCTTCTTTGCGTCAGGATCTTCTGGCAAGACCAGCTCTCTGGCGTGACTTTGAGCCCAGTAGAGAGTTTGGGGGAGAGAGGCATGACACACAGTAGGGAAGGATCAAGTTAGAGAAGCCTTCGTAAACCAGTCCAGAGGACTGGTCAGGGTGCATCTGCGCATGCTGAGGGAGTTGGCCGATGTCACTGCAGGGCAGAAGTCTATCGTCTTTGAAAGGCTGTGGGGATGAGGAGAGCTTCCTGACGGCATGAAAAAGGCAAACGTTATGCCCAGCTGCAAAAAAAGGGAGCATGATCTAGAGAACTATAAGCTGGTCAGCCTAGCTCAGTCTCTGGGGAGATTATGGAACCAAACCTCCTGGAGGCCATTTCCAGACACATGAAGGACAAGAAGGTGACTGGAAACAGCAAGCATGGAAGGCCAGGTCATGCCTAACCAATCCGATTGCCTTTTACAATGAAATGACTAGGGATAAGGGAAAGCATCATTATTTACCTTGACATTAGGAAGGCTTTTGACAAGGTTTCCCATGGGATTCTAGTAGCCAAAGTGAGCAGATCTGAAATAAATTGCTGGACAATAAGATGGGTGAAAAACTGGCTGTACCATCATGTGCCATCATAGTAATGGTCAATGGTTTGAAGCCTGACTCGTGTGTGGTCAGTAACAGCATTCCTCCGGAATTCATGCCAAGGCCAATATGTGTTCATCAGTGAGAGAGACAGTGGGACAGAATGCACCCTTGGCACCTTAGCAGGTTCACGCATGACACAAAATTGGCAGAGCAATCATTATAGTGGAGAGCAGGGCTGCTACTCACAGGGATTTTGACAAGCTGAAGGCCAACAGGAACCTCATAAACAAAGACATGCAAAGCCCAGCATATGGGACAAAATAACTTCACACATCAGTGCAGTGGAGAACTGACTGAGCAGGTAGCAACTTTGCAGGAAAGGACCTGGGAGTGCTGGTGGACAAAGAGCTGTATTTGAGTCAGCAGAGCACACTTGTAGCATTGGAGGCTAACTGCGTGCTAGGCTACATTAGAAAGAGCACACCCAGCCCTTAAAGACAAGTGATTGCTCCTGTCTGATCAGCATGTTTCAGAGCACATCTGAAATATTGCATCCAGTTTTGGGACCCCCAAGTACAAAAGAGTTATCAACAAATTGGAACAAGACCAGCAGAAGGCCATAAAAATTGCTAGGGGACTGGAGCACGCGGTGAACATGGAGAGGCTGAGAGAGGAGTGTTTGCAAAGCCTGGGAAAGAGCAAGCTAAGAGGGGGAACTAACTGCTTCCTTCCACAACCTAAACAGAGCTGTAGATAGGATGAAGCCAGACTTTTCCCAGAGGTGCACATTGAAGGGGCCAGAAGTAAAAGTCAAATTTTTCAGCAACAACAAGTCTGTTTGTTTGTACAGGAAAAAAATATTATCACAAAAGTGGTTAAGCACCAGCAGAGGTCATCCAAAGAAACTGTGGAATCGCGATCCTTGGAAATCTTCAAACTCAGCTGGGAAAGGCCATGAGCAATCCGGTGTAATTTGGCCGCTGACTCTGCTTTGAGCAGGAGATTGTACTAGAGGCCTCCAGGGGTCACTTCCACACAAAACTATTCTGTGATTCTATGATCTTTAGTGCAACTTCAGCAAGTTACTGTTTATCAAGTCAATCGTTATTATAGGAGCATGTGATGCTAAAAAGGCATTTTGCATACTGACAGTGATATGCTAACATGGAAAAGTATGAGCTGCACTGAGCTCAGCTGAGCTGTAAGCAGGTTTTGACCTTTATTGTAAAGATAAAAAGAATTAAAAAGGTTTAAAAAATTACCTCATTTGCAGACAGTATTTTAATGGTTAAAACACTGTAAGTATTGCATACATGCGCAGTTTGACAGCTTGTACCCTTTTCTCAGGCAGGAAATACTTCTGACCAGGACCCTTGGATTTCAAAAACCCCAAGCCAGTGTATTTTCAGGAAGTCCGATACAGTGCTTCAGGAACTGTTTAATCCGTTGAATAGGTAGGCAACGATTTTACATTAGAGTGAGAAAAAAACAGTCCGATTTAAATAAGAACAATACTAAGATCACCTGAAACTTATTGTTACTCGATTTTTCACTGTTATTTGGTGCTTTTCAAATGGAAATGGAAACTAAATAGAAGGCCTGAACATATCAAGCTATTTAAATTTGCTGAAAGGTAGCAAAATGTGATTTTAGACAGGCACTTGGAACCAAGATCCATTTTTTGCATGAGCAAGACAGTGTTACTGAATTCACTCACTGAGAGAAGCTTGATCTACTGAGAGGCCAAGGGGAAGGTAGCTGCCCCTGCTCTCATTAGTTCTGCTCACGTTACAAGGGGTTTTCTGACAACCGTGATGCTGCAGCAACTGAGCAACTTTTCCACCTACGTTGTTTACATTTAGGATTCCAGGAACAAAGTATTTACTTTCCTTCTTGTATATAAATGATTCTACTATGTTTTTTTTTTTTTAATTTGGTTCAATAATACTTTTATGAGAACATATGCTTTTATTTTTAAAAGAAGAAACAAAGATAGAATTATTTTCTTTTTATATGTGCTGATTAAAAATCTTTTTAAACAGCAAGGGGTTTAGAGTCAAACATATTTATAGTGAACATTTAAATTCAGGCTTTTTTCCAGGAGTTCTTGTGTTGGACCTTGGGGTCATACAGGGTTAATTTTCCTTCATTCTTTTTATTCCCTAAGCCTGTCTTATGGTTGAGAGTTCATATCAGTTTCTAGCTTTGACTGGATAGAGCCACACAAAGATCATGTATTATTTTGCTCTTTCTGAAGTGCTTGCAGCCTGTTTGCCTGGGGAGTCAAGAGACTGATTAGCTCATGTTGCACTGACCACATGAGAACTGAGTGGACACATCAGCTTCCCATCTTAGCTACCTTAACTTTCTCTTCTGTCTTCTCCCAGCTTCTCCTAGTTTTCTTCAGCAAAACCTAAAAGGAGGGTAACATCCACCTTGCTGTATATCTTGATAGATACCTGATGACTATCTTTACATCAAAGCCATACCTCACCTACCACTCTCATTTCTCCACAGCCCTCCAGGCCTGCACTCTTCTGCTCATTGCAGCTCCCTTCTGTCCTCTGCCCATTCTCTGCCCATGGCTCGCTAAAAACAGTTCTTCGCCTTTTCAGCTGTTCTTCAGAGCCATTTCTGTGGATCCTTCTTGTTTTGTTTTCATCCATTATCCCCACAAATTCTTTTACTTCAACAGCTGTCAGTTCTCCTAGGAAGGGAGTTTCTTTCACTGTATGTGAAAAGTAAAGTATATAGTTATATAATAATTTAATGTAATTGTAACATACTCATGATTTTGTAATGCATGTGTATATATCTGAGAGCTGTGGCCTCTCAAGTTTATTAAATGTTAACCATAAACTGTAGATGTCATCTAAAAATAGCAGATATTTTTCACTCTGAATAGTGCTTAAGCTATTTCCTCATTTACTATTCATTTTTACTGAGCATTACAAAATGTTCAGCTGGACTGAAGAAAGAGTATCTATCTAGATTGCTTCACAATTTTTTTTAACCTTCCTAACTTAGATAACATGTCCAAGTTTCTCCAAAAAAGAGCTCTAGCATGTTTAGTCTTCTAAAACTATTTTATTGGATTTTCTGCAAGCAGAGAACACTACTTTCTCTTTAAGTTCTGTAGCCTCTTTAGCCAGTTCTAAATATTTGCTGATCAAATCATTATAGAATTTTTTCTAGTAAGAGGTTTTCCATCCTACATTTCAAGTTTCAAGGTCCATTGCTTATTACTCAATTTTTTTTAAAGAAAAGGCATGCTTTGAATGACCATCTCTGTCAGTTCTCTGTGTCTCAGAAACCTCTGAGACTTTTGGCTCAGTTTTGCTGAAAGATCAGTCTGCAGATTAAGTATAAAAAGGGGTGAAAAAGTTACTTTAAGATCCAAGTAAGTGAAAGGAAGATAATTTTAATAATGCTAACTTAATGATGGCATCTCCAAAACCACTGCTCCCATAAATGGGAGAGGGGAGTATGGGTGAAAAAAAATGTGGGGCTGGTCCCCTCACTAAAAAATAGAAAAATTCTATGCCACATTAAAATTACTGATCTCAGATACAAATGGAATGCTGCTTGCTCTTCTTCTTCTTCTTCTTTTTTTTTTCCAAAGTGGACTTCTTCGGTCAGCTGAGTGGAGCAGCAGTGACATACTGTGGCTGATTTTATAAATGACAGTTCCTTACTCTGGAGGAAGCGCCCCATGCCTTGGTATTTTCAGAGCTATCATAAAACAGAAACCTTTTGAAAGTCGCCTTACTATAAAATAGAAATAAAACACAGGAAAGTTTTTCAGCTGAAATAACATACATTTGGGACATGCAGTAAAAGAGAAGTCTTTCTTTGCTATTTTTAGCATGAGATTGATCATCTGTTGTGTTAGCCGTTAGTATTTTGCTTATTTATGTACTGAGCAAGCTGTTTTTCCTTTTCTTTTCTTCCTCATAAAGGCCAGACTATTTGAATTCTGCAAGCCCAAATCCAGTGATGATGACTAGTAAAGAATCAGAAAGTAGTGAAAGAATAAATGAGCCAATTTTTGGTGTTGTGAAAGAAACTGCAGAACTGATACCTACCCAAGATGAACATGATTGTTCCTTTCTGGCAATGTTTGAAGATGACAGCCAACCAGTCCATAATAATCTCTCATCTCATTTTAATCCTTTTGTCAACCAAAGCAGTACTGCCAATTTTTTCATTGATCCTGATGACAGAAATCAAATGACCAACCGAAGTTTTACTTATGATACTAGAGAGGTTCATCCTGCAGTTAGTGCAAAAAGGTGTTCTGTAGACAGACACCTTAAGGGCATTTTCACAGCTCCAGAACAGGTTTTATTTAAAAGTAACAGTACCTCAAGTGCAAGCTACAAGGAACCTCCTAAAACCTACCTGCAGGACAATCACAAGAGACAATACTATTTTATACCCTCTGAAAACAAAGAAAAACCTGCAAAACTTGAACAAAACGGTGAGTGACTGTAGTTTAAGGACATAAATTCTGTATTGTCTCCTCCTTTTAAAGCCTGATGCTTTTTGTAACCAGAGATGTGTCTACCTTGACCTAAAAAGTGTAATGAATCTTGAGACTGCGGTAATTTAATTTTAGGTCCAATTAATAAGAATATATTTCAAAGTTGATAGAAGTATTTATTTTTAAAAGCTATTGCATTTTAAAAATCAAGATTTACTTTTTAGTTTTAGAGGCATTTACTCACCACCACGGTCAGCAGATTAACTTAAAGGAAAATGCACAAAACCACTCAAGAAAAAAGAGGTGAGTGTCATAAAAACTGTCAATCTATTAACTAGTGATAACTGCAGAGACTTTGCTGAAGGAGAGAAATTCTGGCCAAGAGAACATGAAGGCAAAATTCTAAATAATACCCCCTAGTGCAAATAATAGTGAATAATATGAACAAACTTCTGTGCGTGTAAGTCCTGTGTACCATTGTCTGTCTCTCTATGATCAGTAAAGAGAAAGACTCCTTTATGGGACAATTTCGAGACCTTGAAGTTAAGCTGTTGCTCTGATTTGCCCTCTAAAAGAGCTTGTCTCCTTCCACTGACCGTAGAGAAAGTCTAGAGAAGCTGTCTTCCCTGGACTAAAGTCAACATATGTAAGTAAGTGCCACACATTTTATATGAAGCCAGTTCTGTAAAATTTGCTGATCCATAACTCTTTCCAACTTACGATGTGGCACTATCTTCGGTCATCTCACGTTACGTTTCTACAGTGAGTAGAAGTTTGTAGAAACAGTGAAGTTTGTAAAAAACAGATTCTTGGTGTTATATTGCAAGATTCAGAAATAAGTCCGATGATAGTGGAAAGCACTTTGTAATTACAGAGGACAAAAAATAAGCTTACAAATAACAATATTGTATGATTTAATACAGTACTGAAAATGTGTTGCAAGATTTCATTGCTGCAAGCAGCAGTAATGAATTTCATTCGGAAAGCAAATAAAAGTACAGCAGAAATCATTTACCAAAAAAACTATGTGTTTACATCCCTCAGTGACAGCTCAAATGTGAAAGAGTCAGCTTGGAGACAGGACCAGCTCTTTGGATTTGAAGAGGTAACTTTTTAAAGAGACATATTTTTTGTGTTACTGACTACCAAAGTGTTTGCACCATTTATTTGGGGGTGGAAGAGGGATATTCACACCAGTTAGTTACAAACCAAATTTAGCTTCTCTGAATTAAATTCTGTAGAACCTTGTTTTCCTTCATTGTATATACAAGAAGTCCAGCAAGAACAACTTCTAGTTAAGTAGTTCAAATAGTCCTTACAGGTCCTTTATTTACACACTTTGATTCACACATAAGTTAATGCCTAAAACGGGTTAAAAAGGTTACCCTTAAGATCAGATTTTGCGCTGTGGTCTCAGCAGGCAGTGTCCAGACACTATAGACAGGGTTCTTCAGTATTGTAAAGCAGCTTTACGCCTGTATACATATAAATACTTCCATAGCTAGTTTGCCAGTAGAGGTGACCCAGGTATACATACAGTATTGCTCATGAGTTTTGTACCTCTTACAATCATTTGCTGTACAATGCAGTGCCTTCCTTTACGTAACAGAGAAACTGAATGTTCCTCACTTAATCTGAGCTGCTGATCTAGCTGAACCTTCACTATTAACATTTTTATTTATTCTTAAAAGTTTGAAAATGGAGAAGGGTTAGTACCATTTATATATTATTAAGTCAAAAATCAGAATTTTTTTCTCCACATGTAAAACTGAAACAGTTACTTTTAAAGCCAGAGAGAAGTGTTTTCTTCTCTTTAGGATGTTACATTTGATGAGTGTTCATGTGTTTGATTCATGCAGTGCTGTATAAGGAAGACTAACGTTATTGGATAGCTAAGAACTATCTGTATTTGCTTTTCTCTGAAAACATAAATTCAGGTTAGCGTCTCTCTGGTGAGTATTATCCACATATTTGTCATTGTCTCATTTCCTCCAAGGCTATTCCCTAAACTAAAAGCCAGCTCTGAAAGTAGGGGTAAGTGCTATAAGAAATCCACTAGAGAGGTCAAAAATGTTAATCTGATCACCGTAACTCAGGCTTACAAAGGCTGGCATATGGTAACAGTGTCAGGTAAATGCCAATCCTTCCTTTCTTTCTTTCTATTCTTGCAGATCTCCGCTGGTTGGCAAATGCCTTGGGCATTGTTTTTGTATTAATTCTTCAATAGATATTTGACATATCATTTCAGTGGTCTAGTCTTTACTGGTCTATATTCTCTTCTACCAGACTATATGTGGCCTCCCACATGTGCATGGAGTGAGGAAAGTCAACAGGGAGATCCACATCCTCTTTGCTCCCTCGGTAGCTGTAGGGGTCAGCTGCACTGGCCTGCATTTCAGAGCAGAAGATTCCCAAGGGGTCCCCAAGAGAAAAACATGGCCACGGCCCACGTAACTTGTGTGTCAGCCAATGTGTGCATGCGATTTGCTGTGTTTTTTCACTGCCCCAGCTCTACAGAGGCCTTCCTCCCAGTGGATAGCGTGGCTGTGCGGCCAGTGCAGGCTACTGATTAAAGGCATAGCTGAAGCCTGGAGACACCTGTCTCACACATTCTGCTAAGATGTGTGGTTCTGCAAGGAGGAGAACTGGCTATTGCCGAGGCCTAGAACAACATCACTAACACTTCATTCTCTAAACACTGCCTTAAAACTGCTTCAGAAGCGGTCACAGTGTTTAATGCTGCATGCTCTATTTGGGAGAGTTGGTTGTTTGAGGAACTTTTAGGGAACAACTTTTCCTTCAGTGTGAGCTCTTTTTCAGACGTGGAGTCATCACTGAGCAGCCAGTCTCCCAGTTACTCTCCTAGGCAGACAGACAGCTGTTTCAGCTCTAGTCCTGACGTGGTGAGTACTCTCCGGGTTTGCAAGGGTTCATCTGAATGACATCTGCATGCCTGAGTGCATCTAAGGGTGCATGAAGTTGGAATCTTATTTATAGCTTTGTTTTATACAAGCCAATATCATATGTGAGGAAAAAAAGAAATGGTTAGCTGTAACTAACTGTAGTTTAACTGTCTGGTCTCTTGATAACAGCAGGCCTTGTGGAATTACAGTAACATGCGTGTCAGAAGATGCTAAGCAAGCTTCTGTTCTCTTCTGGGATGTATAGCTGCCTTGCATTACATGCCTGTAAGGGAGGAGAATCTGATGCACTGCATATTTTTAGCCATTCTTGAACACATAAATACCACAACTTAAGAATACAAAATATGGGTAAGAACGAAGGTCCAACTTACCCTCTTTCTCTCCAAAAAAGGGAAGGAGCACATCCCTAGGGAAAG